AGGTTAAAGCTGCAAAAAACCTTGAAAACTTGAAGTATACAGAGGCTAAACAGTGAGCGACTCTTTCCTTCTCTTCCTTAGCCCAATACAAACCCTGTACCGATCCTACAGCATGTTTACACCAGGAGAGATACTGATTGGCATCCATGAATCAAAGTAGGAGTGACCAAGAGCGAAAAACTATACCTCCATATGACTTCCTCCTTGGGATACCTTTTTCTAGCATGTCCAAGTACTCCTGAATTCCTCCATGTCCTCCCTCCCTGAAGTTCTGGTCCTTTCCAAAGGGATGAACTTTGTGGCTAGCAGCCTCAGTGCAGACCCTACGTATCAGATGACAAATATCCTTTTCCCCTGCCGAAATTATGCTTGAATTTCAAATGGACTTTTCCACACAGTTCTGAGACAAATGTGACATCATTTTCTACATGAATTTTGTAACATGAGATTTCTTTCTGATATTCAGTTTGTGAAAAAAGAGATGGTAATGTGAAAAAAAGGTCTGCTGTTGAAGCAAAATAAAGAAAACTTCGTCCCTGTCTTCTGCAGCTATGCGATAGAAGCCACTTACTGAACGTTGACTCTTCCCCATACACACCTGAATTCTGCTGACAGCAGCAGCTCTTTATTCCTCCTGCCATCCTTGTCTTTCTGCAGAAGCTGTCTAGCAGCAGCAGCTCTGTGTGAGCTTTGATAGTGCTTAGGGTGTCAAGCTAAGAACAAAATTCATTGAGATGCATTTCCCAGTTTCTTTTGGCGAGTAATGATGAATATTCCAGATACTGTGGGACATTTTATGCTAAAAGATACTGAAAGATGCTGAACTCATGAGGCTGGCCTTTAAAGCAGGTATAACAGTTTAAAAAACTTTTTTTTAAACTGTGTATTTAAATACTTAATAAATACTCACTTACTGCTAGTAGAGCCCAGAGGTCAAACTCTGCCGTCATCACTGATAGTAAAAGGGTAACAGGCATCAGCTTACTGTATCTATGCATTCAAAAATCAGTTTTATTTGGAAGCAAAATAAATTTTTGATAACAGCTTTTTTGGTTTGGGGTTTTGATTTTTGTGGGTTTTCTAAAATCTTTTAGACACTTCTCACATACAAAGACAGGAAGCTCTGGTTGCTTCGAAAAGTATTTTAGACAGGGAAAAGCAAGTGTGTGTTACACACTGCCAGGGGCTAGGAAACTGGATTCCAAGGCTGTAATTCCAGCTTTGCTGCTGACTCAGTGAGTGACCATCACATAATCACACTGTTTCCCTTTCCTCACTCTGCAAAAGATGAGCCGTATTCAGCTATCTCAAAAGACACTGAGAGGCAAGTGGAGCTGGGCCTTGCATATACTGAATTTAGGGGTAATGGAATTAGTCATGCCTACATCTCAATAAAATCTACATATTTTAAGTTGCTCACCTCCTCTGTTAGTACCCCACTTCTAATGCTTTTGATATATTTGGGTATCTAGTCAACTCTTCAGACCATTGGGGTTTGTTTACATACATGTATCTGCATCATATGTGGTTTTCAGCATTGCTAGAGAAGATTGCATGCATAAAAGTGAAAATTTTCCATTTGAATGCAAGATGAGCAGAGCTCTTGTTGTTGACTTTTGTCCACTGGTTTTAAAAGTCAATCAAATCAGTCTCAGAAAGAATGCAGCAGAGGGTCCTGAAATTTGTCTTCAGCCTGCAGACACCTTTTTCCAGTTTTGGGGTGTGGAATTATCCTGTTTAACTTTAAAGAACTACAAATGTCTTAGGACTGCAAAGACATCATTGGAGCAAGAATGCTGCCGATGCTGGCCCTTTTCCCAGCTCTGCTAATGGCAAGGAGTTGCTATTGTCCAGAGCTATGTCAAGCAGCAGGCACAATGACATTTAAGAAGATTCTGGTCCTACCCAAGGAGCACAGAAGTTACAGCCGTGGTCTGTAATGCTGATATCAAGACAGATGATGATCACACTGCCAAACAGCATTAAGCAAAATACTTGAGAGAAAGAGCAAAGCCACAAAGATCCCACACCCTGCAGCATCCCTGGAAGCTAGGAGAAGCATGGGGCAGTACTAATAGATGCCCAACATGCTGGCAGAGTGGAAGAGCTAAAGTCACGGCCTCTCATGATCCTCTTTTGCATAATCAGGATGTTCCAGGGTCAGAGCAAGAGTTTCCATCTCAAGGCCAAATGAGTGCTTCATGCATACAGCATGTATTGGTATATGGCATATGTCCAAATGAGGTTTTGACCAGGCAGTTCACAATTCCTTACATTAGCATATTACCCCTCTCACTGTCACTCCTACAGACAAAATGGATCTCTGTTGTACTGAAAATCCAGTCGCTGCAATGCAATAGCTTTTAAATAAATCACAAAGCTGGGACCATATTCCCCATATGTAGAAAAAGCTTAAGTGCTGAGAGCAATCAAACAATATTCATTTATATTTTGTCTCTCACGGGCCTGCACATACAATTTGTTCATAACCTCCATTTTCAAAGGAAGTCAACAAAAACAGAGAGGGCTCTGCACCTACGAGGAGATAGTCACATTTCGCAGTAAAACAATTTATTTTTCTTCAGCAATTTACGTGACATATATATAAATATATATATCTCACGGAGACATATATCTCACTTAAATTGATGAATACAGATATCATATACAACGTATATTATATATTTTGCATATAGTGTGCCTATGAGTCTGTGCATATACATTTTCATATACCTACCCTGCTCTAGGCTATGCATTTTGCACAGTATGAGCATGTATACATACAAACATAAACAAACTCCTACTTATGTTGCTGTATGTCTCATGCAGAAGGAGCAAGAGGGCAGATGCCCAGCCTCACCCACACGCGCACCATCTGAGGGCAAGTTTAGGGTGCAGGCAAGCACTTGTTTATGTAACACCAAGGTACAGCCACAGTAAAAGGGATGCAGGAGCGAGGGCCATTGCTGAATATTAAAAAGGAAGAAAAGCAAACAACAATAAGGTATTCTCCATATTTTCTAAGCAAAGACTACTGGTGTTTCTTAGATCTGGAAATCTGGTTAGCAGCTTGCATCACCACACATTTTTACTAACACGAATGTGGCCTGAGCCTGTCTACTTGCAGTCAGGGATACACAGCACTCTAGGAAAGAGATAGCAGAAGGGGCAGTATTAATTCTATCCAGCTTTAATTAAAGTAGTAGAAGACACATTTGATTCAAACACACTGATGAAACAGGATATGTGAAAATCAGGAAAAACAACACACATTGTGATGAAGTAACTGAGGATGGATGCTGGGCAAACATGAAAAAAAGACCCTCCAGCAAGGACATCCACATATTAAATGAATTTTAAACACAGCTGTTTTGCAGAGAATTCCACATTCAAAAATGTAATCACAAAAACTACCTTATGCTGCAGTGTTCCATTTAGGGGATTAGGTTAGTAATCACAATCTGCCCCAAGCAGCTCTGCCCCAGCATCCAAACACTGTGCACATTAGAAATGACATTCTTGTTTTGACAAAGAGAATTCTAATGCAACTTAATGAACTCTGCAAAGTGAGCCTTTTAAAAGTCAGGGAGATCATCTCCAAAGGTCCCAAAGGTATCAAACAGCCTCAGTAATTTTATTTAAGTCCTGTAGTTCAGAATACGAAAATCCATAAATTGAACATAAAATGAATTCAAAATTTCTCAGGTATGCCAAGAGAGCAGATGGCTTCTGAATCCTAGAGATTTGCCAAAAGGATCTGTAAATTCAAATGCTACATTGCTAGATTCTGCTTTTTTTCTTTTTACAGAGATCTGTGTTTACAGGCAATGTAGCAGAGAAGAAAAAAAAGGACAGATTATGTCTCTTGATATTATCCCTTCCAGAAGAAATTTATAAAGAATGGATCAAAACATGGTGTCAGTGAATGAGTTAATGCATACCACAATCTACAGAGTTCCGAGACGGGAGAAAAGAAATGGCAATGAGGAGGCATTAGCACAGGCACTCCCAATGTAATACAGTCCTAAAGCTAACCTTAACAGAAGCTTCAGGCTTTTTAGTATTTTCTCCACTACTGTATATTATTTGCGTCATTGGAAACTATAGGGTGATCTGGCAAATAAATAATCTCTACTGATTTTTTAATTCTTGTCTTTTTTTCCAAGGCAGTCGGAGATGTCATTTCCCATTTCTAACACAGAAGGAAAACAACAGTTAATTATAAATTGGGAGAAACCGTCCCAAAAATCTGAAACATCTAAATAGATATGCCTTAACAGAATCAAAGACTGCCACCAGCAACAGACAATTTAAAAAAAAAAAAAAACAAACAACAACCAAAGAACAGATTGCAGACTTGTGTTTCAGGCCCTAGCTAGAAAAATACACCTGCAGTGTGCAGTGTAAATACACTGAATCATGGCTGTTAGCCCAGGACCAGTCACCGATCCCTCACTGCATAACAACTCGGCTCAGATGACTAGCACCACAAGACAGGTCTCCCCTGCAGCATTTAGCATTGCTGGTGATGTGGGAAGTGGAACTAAAAATGGGAAATGGGGGAAAAAATGCTGTCGTGAAGTACAGAAATGCACCTTCACCGTGCAAAGCACAAACACAGCCGCCTCCCTCCCGACAACTTCTTCAGATCAGCTGGAGGCTTGAAACTCCTGGCTCCTGAGCTATGCCATGCGTCTCTAGCCCTTTTGGGGATGAAGGGAAGGAGGCAATACTGGTGTGCCTTGGGCATCTTCCTTCGCGTGTTCCCTCTGTAGCTGTGGACTGCCATGACTGGGAGCACTTTAACCTCACTGCAGCTGGGCTAAGTCCACAGCGGAGCTCAGAGAGGACGGGAAGGGGTGCAAATGGCAAGTATGATGTGAAAGGTTAGGAAAATGAAGGGGAGAGCATTACACATGGCAATGAACATCTGTGAAGTGCTGCACAGCGAGAGGAAGGGTATGGAGGGAAAGGGAGAAGGGGCTGGTTTTCCCTCATACCTTGCGTTTCCGATCTGCCCTAGAGATTTTCCGCTGCCTTTTCCTTTCCTTCTCAAGGTTTCTCTCCCTCTCTTCAAGTTCAGACTCTCGAACTTTTTTAATGGAAGCAGCTGCATGAGCCATTTTGAAGAGGAAAACACCAGCTCCAAGGAAGACGTTTCCACCATACACAGATATCCAGGTGATTTATTTTTCCGCAAGGGCACTGGCTGCAAGCCAGAACTTTATGGTATAATCCACTCTTCCTCCTCTGGCACCCCAGCAAAGGTCACAGCTCTGCTCCAGCCTCTGCAGCACCCATAACGCTGAAGCACGAGAGCCACATCCACACACGCAATGTGCGAAAGTGTTGCAGCCGCACACAAGCAACCAGAGAGCAGCGACAAATACCTGCTAGCAGGCTGAAACTGCGTCAGCTTGACTGCAACTGCAAGTGGAGACAAGCTTCAGACTTAGCTGAGTTCTAAAAAAAAAAAAGGGGGGAAAAAAAAGAAAAATCGTCCTTTAAATGCACACCATCAAACTGGAAAGGTCTTTTGGGGTTCCTCCGGATCGTCAAGCTTCAGACTTAGCTGAGTTCTAAAAAAAAAAAAAAGGGGGGAAAAAAAAGAAAAATCGTCCTTTAAATGCACACCATCAAACTGGAAAGGTCTTTTGGGGTTCCTCCGGATCGTCCCCGTCTTCTGACTGGGAGGAAGGCTCCACTCCAGCATCACCACCAGGTGGGGGAGGCGGCAGCTCCCTTCAGCATCTCACATCGCCTTTACGCAGGGTGAGAAGAAAATGGTGCAGTCTGACTTACTGACTTGCTGCTGCTGCGACTGTCTGTGCTGGAGCCCAGCATACGCTTTCCTGCTCTTCTCCTCCTCAAGATCTTCCCTCGCTGCTGAGTTGGTCGACTGGAAACCAGGAGCAAAAGCTGGCGGGCTCAGAGAGCGCAGCCTCAGCCCGCTCACCTGCAGGCAGCATGGAGAGCCGCCTGGAAACAGCTTGGCAATATTCAAGTCCTCGTTGTGCCTTTATGCAGCCACGTGAGGCTGCATCAGGAGAGCTGCATTAAGCAGCGAACCAAACGGAGCGAGGAGGGGGACGCTGCTCGGGGAAGCACGCAGCATAATCTGGGCTCAGCCTGCCCTGCTCAGCTCAACTCCGCGGAGGTAAAAATAATACCACCGAGTGTGCTGCTCGTCATCATTCAACGCCAAAAGCTGCTTTCAGGCGCTTCGTAAGACAAATTATGAAGCCCTGCGTTGAAGATGGAAAATGATTATAGCTGTGGACTAACAAAGACCAACAGTGACAGAGACAACATGTTGTTAATTAGTCTCCCCCTCTCCCCTCTCGCCAGTATCATTTGGGTTTGGGACATTAATTTATAGTGTTAATATCAGAGACAGATGGGTCTGTCATTTCCTCATTCCTTATCCCCCTGCTAAAACCAGCGTATCAAAGCTCTTCTCCCGCCTCCCTGGGTAACTGTTATCACTATTAGCGTCAAGCATTTATTCATCAAAATAGAACACGCATAGATAAAAAGAGCCTTTGCATTAGTCCCTGGCAGACAGCTGATCACATTTCAACTCCCTCCACCACCACTGATCTGGCCTTTTCTAGGCAGGTCCCGAGGGAGAGGAGGACTGCGACACTCCGATGCAGCAGAGATGTCTGCATCTCTGGCTTAGCCACCCCAGAGAAGCCAGGGATACAGCAGCTCACTGATGGCAGCACTAAAAATCACCAAATCAAAGAAACAACTCCCTTTCCCTCCACAATATATTCCTTGACTTCAGGCTGAATTTGACTGAACGGCCACTATACCTAAGCACCACGAATTTCGCTGTAACACAGCACCAGCAAGTCAGCAGCAGATGCGCTGTGAGCTCTTCATGTGACAATAGCTCATAGACAAGGCCTAACCCAAATCTCACGTTATTTTTGCACCCAGACAACTTGGTTGTTTTCAGCTCACATAGACCAAGACGATTTAATATCACCGTGGGACTAATCACTACTGATAGCTTGTGTTTTTACTACAAAGTTTCACTTCGGGAATGCCACCAATTTCTAAAACCAAATTTTCACAGAGTACTTGTATACAAGTAAAATAGGCATCTATTTTGTGTTTGAGTCAGCGATCTGTGCATTCAATGAAAAATATGTTTCTCTAGTGGACGAAGACATCAGAAGAAGCAGGGTACAGAGTGCCCTCTTTTTTCCAGCTCCTCTGTACACACAGGCTGATTTTCTCAGAGTTGTTCCCGTTTGTGCGAAACTAGGCTACACAACATAATGGCTACAACACAAGCAGTAGCTGCAGCAACAGCCACCAGCAAAGTGAGACAGGTGGAGGCAGCCAGAGGGATAAAATAAAGAAGAAAATTGAATTCTTTAATAAGACTGCAGCTTGCCTTGCCTCCTTAACATATAAACCTCACAGGTAGCATCACTTGTAAACCAGAAATTAATAGCTGGTAACCTAGAACTCTGCCTTCCTGATATAGTAGGAAAGCACTGATCTTCCCAAACTTTCTATGGGATCTTAAGCAGGAAATTAAAAAACAAGACCAAATCACAGGCCACCACACTTAAAAATCCTGGTCTTAAGATTTCCCTAAATCACAGTTCAAGGTTTCCTTAAGCCATCAAATGCTTAAATCCCGATATTTAGTGCACACAACAAGATTTGATATACAGGAGGTTTACCGGAATCGTGATTATCAAACAATTCATCATCATTTGATGACTGGTATGTGTGGGCTCATCAGCCCAGTCTCAAATAATTATTCTTTCAAAAAACTCACTTAAAAGTTAACAAAGGACTTGATGTACTTTGTAACCCATGCTACACAAGAGAAAAAAACAATCAGACGCTCAAATTGAACAACTGGTGCCAAGTAAGACAAAATTAAATAGCAAATATTCTTCAGAAGATCACTGACAAAGAACAACTTCAGATCAGTTCTATGAGTTTACTTTTATGTCCCATAAACATTTTCCCCCTAACCTCAAAAAGACATAAAAATGTTTCACCATCGGGGGAGGGGGGGGAAGTAACTTTCAATATACTATTTTGGAAAGAACATATCCAATCTGGGGAGAAGAACGTAAAGCAAGTGTCACTTAATACTTGACACAGCTAATATCCCTGCAGGAAAGAAGTGTTCTGTTTTAAGATAGAAAGATTTTCCCAACAGAAGTAGAAAATGGCTTGTCATTGCATCTTAACAAAAAGAAATCCTTCTGCAGACATCAATCTGAAGATTAAATTTTCAAGATCTGTTCAATAAAAATGGAGACTGAGCAATTTCCCCCTAAACACAGAAAACATATTGTGAAGCTGCTACTTAAGAAAAACAGAATATACAGTGATATTGTTGCAAACGGTATGTAGGAGGAGAGTGGGACAGTGGGCAGATGCACAGTAACACAAAAAGAACACAGTACCAGAAAAAGGGTGGTTTTTCTCTGAAAAGCATTTGTCATCATGAACTCTGAATGTAGAAATACATAACATGAGAGATTCAACAAATTCCCATTTGGGATAATAAAGCTTGTAAGACTTCAACCTGTACAGTGCCCTGCATGACTCGTGAAAGGCTCCGAGCGACTAACCTCACTGTGTGGGTGCGCAATTAGGGTTACAGTTCCTCTCTGCCTGGCTTACAAATTGGCATAAATCATTAACTTCCTGACCTGATCTCCTAAAGTCACAGCCTCCAGGTTTCGTTGTTTTAACCTGACCCACCACCTGAGACAATAAGCTCCTGCACTGCAGTGCTTTAATAGCCACAGCTATGATCACCACTTGGGTTTAACTGCCAGCTTTCAGGTAGAGAGAGATGATTTGCTGAGCAAATCAGCATCTTCTGTCTATAGAAAGCTACTGGATGAAAACCAACAGTAATTCACTACCAGAGGAGAGGATGTAAACAAGCGATTATCCTTCCTTGAAGCACATCCACTAACAGGGGTCCAACTCGTAAAGATGAGATTCTCTCCACGTAAATCACAGGGGCAATGCAAAAACAAAATTAAAAACAAGCCTAGAAATTACACCAAAAAAAGCGTGACTCAATTCTGTTCTCATCTTTTCCCACAGTTACAAAAAAAAGGAGACAGTGATGGAGTGGGAAAAGCCTTTCATGCCTCAAAGCCAGAATAGACATTGTTCTTTCCAGTTCTAGGCTGCTGGCATATTCAGGAAATAGGTTGGAAATCAATAAGGGTTTCAAAGAGTTAAAAATGGGAAAGGGCTGTCCACGGCAATAGTATCACAGAATGGTAGGGGTTGGAAGGGACCTCTGTGGGTCATCTAGTCCAAGCCCCCTGCTGAAGCAGGGTCTCCTACAGCAGGCTGCACAGGACCGCATCCAGGTGGGTCTTGAATATCTCCAGAGAAGGAGACTCCACAACCTCCCTGGGCAGCCTGTTCCAGTGCTCCGTCACCCTCAGAGGGAAGAAGTTCTTCCTCATGTTCAGACGGAACTTCCTCTGCTACAGTTTCTGCTCGCTGTCTCTTGTCCTGGTGCTGGGCACCACTGAAAAGAGTCTGGCCCCATCCTCCTGACACCCACCCTTCAGATATTTGTAGGCATTTATTAGGTCCCCTCGCAGCCTTCTCTTCTTCAGGCTGAACAAGCCCAGTTCCCTCAACCTCTCCTCGTAGGGGAGATGCTCCAGTCCCCTCACCATCCTTGTAGCCCTCCGCTGGACTCTCTCCAGTAGCTCTTCATCCTTCTTCAACTGGGGAGCCCAGAACTGGACACAGTACTCCAGATGAGGCCTCACCAGGGCAGTGTAGAGGGGAAGGAGAACCTCCCTCGTCCTGCTGGCCACACTCTTCTTGATGCACCCCAGGATCCCATTGGCTTTCTTGGCAGCCAGGGCACACTGCTGGCTCATAGTTAACCTGTCGTCCACCAGGACACCCAGGTCCCTCTCCGCAGAGCTGCTCTCCAGCAGGTCCACCCCAAGCCTGTACTGGTGCATGAGGTTGTTCCTCCCCAGGTGCAGGACCCTGCACTTGCCCTTGTTGAACCTCATCAGGTTCCTCTCTGCCCACCTCCCCAGCCTATCCAGGTCACGCTGAATGGCAGCACAGCCTTCCGGTGTATCTACCACAC